ACACAAAACTTGTAGACGAGGTTTGTTTCCGAAACATCTTCCTATGAAATTCCCAAAATACAGTAGAACCTCGCAAATCCGCAATTTCGGATAATACGAACAAAATTCGGGATGGAGGAAAAATAAATCAAATAAATAAAATGCATATTTGTAGGGTAAAGAAAGGATTTTATAATTACTGTAGAACTGAACTACTAATAATTGAAACACAGGTTGTCGAAATGAAACGGTTATTATACTGGTAACTACGCTGTATATCACACGTTTATGTAGCAGTAATTTTCACTTAGAGGAACTTGCTTAATCGATAATCTTCTTTTGCCGTAAGGAACTGAACCTGCTTGATGATGAGATCGCTACGCCACGTTGCCATTTTTTCACATCGCACGCTACGCTGCATTTTCTGGTAATCGCATAAATGAATATGTGATACAGTTTTTTCGGATAATCCGAACATTTCCGAATCCGAACACACCACAGCTCCAATTAGTTCGGATTATAGGAGTTCTTCTGTAATCGATAACAAAAAAATAAATATTCGTTGGGTTTAAATTAATTTCCAGATTGTTTGTTAAATGCTTATGCATCCACCATTATACACCCGTTAACACACATATTTAATGCATCTTTATGCACCGGAACTTTTCCAGATATTTTCAAAAGAGCTCAGATTAAGATGCTCTTAAAAAAGGCAACAAAAGATGAAATTCAAAGTTATCGGTCAATTTGTCTTTTGTCAATTTTTCCAAAAATACTAGAGAGACTTTTGTATGTACAAGAGGAAACCTTTTTCAGTGAACACGACACGTTTTCAGATTGCCTATATAGATTTCGAACATCAAAATCTACTGAAACAGCCATATTTCCCTTTCTGGACGATGTCGCTTCATCCAAAAATCAAAACGAAGCACATATTGGAATACTTTTGTATCTTTAAAAAGCTTTTGACATCATTGATCATAACATTTCACTTTCAAAGTAACCATCATTTGGAATCTGTGGTATTGTTGTAGTTTAATTATATTCGTACCTTAAACAACAATCTCAGAAAGCAGAAATACCTTACTGGAATGATGGAGCATTATGAACACACGTTTCCGATTCATTGCCAATTGCACAGGGAGTCCTGAAGGGATCGAATTTAGGTCATATTCTCTTCTTACTCTACGTAAACGGTATGCGCTGAAAGATTAGAAACGAAAGTTCTCTTTGCGTATGATACGAATATTCTTTGCAATAAACAAACCGTAAATACTATAATATCAGATGATTTAAATTGATTCCGTAATAACAAATTAATAGTAAATGAAAAGAAAACTGTTTCAATAACATTTTCCATTTCAAATAAACAATTCTGTTCTACTTGAAACTGAACATGTCCTTGACTGATGTTTAAGGTACGTAACAAGATGTTTAGGTCTCTCAATTCAGTCAAACTTCAAATAAAGCGCCCATTTCAATTAAATGAACACAAAATTAAGTTTACTACGCTATGCGTTCAAAATTCTTTCGAATTCAGTCAGCTTCCATCCTGTTCGTTGTGTATATTTCGCGAATGTTCATTCCCACCTGAGATATGGCGTATCATTGTTGTGAAATACATCCTATAGCTCCCAGACATTTAGATTACAAAAACGAATTGTACGAATAATAAGCAAATGCCACCCACGTGATTCTTGTAAGTCTCTCTTTATTAACGTAGGGATTTTACCATTTTTATTGTCTCTTGATTTACGAATCAGTGTTTTTTTAATCAAAAATGACTTACTCAATGGCGGGAATATATTTTCAACCGACGCCGATGTCTACAACTACGAACTCTTGTAAAACACTCGACGTACTAATCATATTCAAGTTACAGTATCAACAGCTCACTACAAAAACTTCACATACATGTACATATCTTACAACATTTTGCCAGATCAGACATTAAACGATTAAAACCTATATAAACGTTTAAGTCCCAAGTAAAATATTTTGAGCTGCATAACTGTTTCTATACAATTAGACTACACCGAGCATCAAAAAGGAAATTAATATTAATTTTAACAATATTATTTACCATTTGGTCTGTATAATTCTAAACAACCTGCAACAAGTATTTTAACTCAGACTCTGGGTCAATGGCCCCCATCTCAATCAGGTTTTTCGTCCAGTTTCTCAGATCCCCTGAACAAATGTTGAGATGTCTTGATTTCCTTCTAGACATTAATGTAATTGCATTATCTGTGCATGACTTCTAGAGTTCAGTAGGAAATATAGTGATTCAAATTGGCATTATCCATATTCTCGTCTCAGAAGTATATTCCTTCATGAAGGACTTGATGAAGGATAAGAACTCAAATCTATAACTATAATCTATAACTATAACAAATCTATAACTGATTTGCTTTTGAAAATAAATTTTATTACATAGGGGGGAATATTTTTTAATAATTCTTGTCAAAAACGCTAATTTCTTTCTGTAATTAGAATTCAAATTGTACACAGTTTAGGGTAGGGATCACAGAATTAAGAAAACTTGCACAGGATACGCTTCTCCCCGTAGCACGTTACACATGGTTTTTAGCTGTTTTTGACGTAAAATTAAATAAATGAAGTTTACGCAAACCACTAGACAAGTCTCGATGAGCTGCAAAATCCTTTGAGGAAGCGATTCGCAAACTCATGAAGAAACTACCTTGGGCTGCAGCGCACGCCCTCCAGCGAGTAAATGCTTGCTGTTGTTTTTGTTTAGAAAATTAAGGCCATTTTCAACATTTAGTGAGGTTGGTATCCATCACCAATTCTTATTTAATATTATAGAATTGCCTTTCAAACATTATCTTGTGTAGTTTTTACGGGGAATTTCCAATGTTTTATTATTAAAGAGAAGACAATTAATATGAAAATCAATGATTTTTAACCAGTGACCACTTCGCACTATTGAGCCTGCTCTTTCACAACTATGTGAGTGTGTGACAATATTTTGGTGGTGGTGGAAGTAGTAATAGTAGCAGTAAGATGAAGATGATCTGGGTAGCCAAAACCTCTAAAAGGAAAGCGCAGAAATCCCATCAATTCAGATGGTTTGAATACCGCTTGGCAAGTAGCGAATCGCGGGGGGGGGGGGGAGAGATGGCAGATGCCCAGAGAAGTTTGTTCCTTCTTTTATTTGGCAAAATTGATTTAAATATTTAATTATGTTAGTATTATGTTAAATATTTAATTATGTAATTATTTAAAAATAATATAGTATCATATATGTAAAAATAATATACTTGTTTATTAGTTTATTATTTAACAAAAATCTCTTGTGCCCCCCCCCCTAATGATCGGCTCCTGTTTTGGGCATGAATAATTGTCTTCCAACATTCAATCACGCTATCATATTCACTTGCTAAGTTGAAATTCGGTGCCGATGAAAGTTAAGCTGTTGAAATTCGATGGGATACGTGCAACCCTGCTTCAGATCACGGGCTAGATGGTTCGCAGAGACCTATACGAATTATTATAATAATCATCTGTTCAAGAGCTAATACAATTTAAAACAGAATAACATTTACGCGATCTGGAGCATTATTTTTTGTTAAACAAAAAAAGTTTATTTTTATAAAGCTTGTACTTACCAAGTGCATTTCATTTTTAAAGATTTACGAAGAAACCTCAGTTCTGGCTAATTAATTTTTACTGTCTCGTCCTTATGAAGGTATTTTTCTTTCGACATGAATCACTAGCAGGCATGTTCATTCACTCTGAACTCGCATAGCGACGACGGCAACCCACTCTTCGTCTCTCGATAGTTTTGGGGAGTATGGCGTTAAGTTGATTTCCCTACAATTACCTGCTCCTACAGAGTTGCCAGAACACCTATGCCTAATGAGAGTTGAGTTTTAAACTGATCACCTAGTATGCGTTGACCAAAAAACCTGAGAATTAGGACTGAATTAGACAAGGATGTGTAATTATGAATTTTACTTCTACATTTCGTGAGAGAATACATGTAAAACATTGCTGTGTTAGGCACTTGATAAAATAAATGACTTCAATAGCGCCTAAAATAATAATTATCAACGAAGTTTGAAGTACGATATATCTTCTTGCTTTCTCACCTTACAACTACGTACTTACTAGTAAAGAGAAAGTATTCTAATGCTGCGGCAAAACACAGCGATATTTCGCCAGAAAAATTCGAATTGACGAACCCTAGTATCGAAAACACTATGTGTATTACATTATTTCCCCTTGATACCGAAAAGCCGGCAGAACGTCTGCCCGTCTGTGGTCAACGGTGGCGCCTAAACCATCCAGACGATTTTCTCCAAAATTGATCTTCCCGATCGATATTAACTCATTGTGCTACAAGTTTGAAACGGATATTTTTATTTTGGGAGATCTTTACATGAAACCATTTTCAAAATTTTCTCAAAATTGTTTTCCTCTGATAGAGCATTAGACTTCAAGAAATGGTGCTGGTCCCATTTTCGGCGAACTTTTAAAAATTGCAAATAAAAGTGTTCAACTTTTTGTTAAGCAGAAGGGAGGTACAGTTCAGTTGTGAGACTGGTATTGTAGGGGTAATATAAATGCCATGCTAACTCTAAGATCCTGAGTTCAAATCCCAGCCCAGAGATATTATTTTTGGCTAGTTAGAAACACTTTTGTAAGTTTATGTAGTAGTTATAATACATTTTACTTCAATTTATTTGTAGTGGCTTGGTGTAAGTCAGCTGTTACAGTGTCATCCAATCAGGAGCTTGGATGTCAACTACAATGACATCACTGTGGTGATGTTCAAGATTCCAATTGGATGACATCAAAACAGCCGATTAAACATCAAGAGCCATTAGAAATAATTCAAGTATAAGTAGCCTTTACAAATGTGAGAAAATATGTGCTATTGCAGCACAACTAGTTTCACTAGGTGACAAAATTTGTTGCCATCCACTAGCACATGGGACTAGTTTTTACGAATTCAATTTTCTTTTAGAGTATAAAAATACGTTAATGTTTTTTTAACTGCCAATTCAAATTTATATTAGCATGAACTCTTCAAAAAGAGACAACTACAAAACTGTTCACATGAAATTAATATCAAATTGTGTAAATATTGTAAACCTGTAACATTCTGCATGTTATGGTTTGCTTGCTGTACATTCTACAAAGATTCAGATGTTGATTGTTTTCATAGGAAAGGAGACTCTTTTTTGACTTGCACAAGTGAAATGTCCCAAAGGGTAATTATTGTAATAAAAATACAGAATTTCATTAATTTCCAGAGAATTTTTACCAGTGAAAATGTGGTTCAATTTTCCAGGTTTTCCTTTTCTATTGAATTAATACATCATAACTTATATGCATTGCATATTTTATTTACATAATATATAGTCACAAATAATTTTGAAATAAATTTTTAAGCCCTAAATAGATTTTTGTAGACTGTGATACCCATCCACTTCCTCCCAAATTGTATGTGTTGCTCACCTGGAATACTGAATTAATGCAGATATGTATTGGTTCAAATATTTTGGAGCAACCATTCAAATTTATTAGAACATACATCCAAATTTTATTTAAAGTCTAAAATTATATGTAATGATGTGAATCACTGTTGAATTTATAGCAATTTCTTTATTAGAAATTGCTTGGCATGTGTTCAATAAGAGGACATACCAGAAATAAAAGTACATCTCACCTGTCTCAGGAAGACATGGATTTCCATTGCAACTCGAAGGCGTGCCTTTAATTAGTATAATAGATACCAACTCTAAAGCACTAAAAAAAACATTTTTTCTGTGAACAATGGCACAAAAAAGGAAGTGCATTGCTTTTTTGCAAAGAATATTCACACAATACTTATTCCAATAAGTTAGCCCATATGAAAAACTGTGCAACTCCATTTCTCATTCCTAAAGTCAGAGTGTCTTTAAAAACTAATGAAAAAATATTTCAATACTGATTCAGAATGTTTTATAATTCTTTTCCTAAACATATTACAAAATTTGATTTCCATTTAGAACATAAAACACCAAATACATTGAATGTTTATGAATTTGGAATATTTTAGACATGAATTATTTAAAGAGACTAAGAAATTTTTAGCCAAGAACAGATGATGCCACTCCAAATCATTAAACCAAGCTCAAACTATCAGATCTTGCAAGAAGTTGAATATCACCTGAACCAACTTCTATCACCTTTTTCTGTATGAAATGTGGCTCAACACATTGGGATTAAAGAATAATGAGCAATGCAATTTTCTTGACTTCATGCACAAAAATTCAGAAAATCTGAGTAACAAGGCAACAATTTATTTATATAATATGAAGAAACTATACTCCACCTTTCAGACAAAGATTGCACTTCACTCAACATAGTAATATTCTTTTTAGGAACATTGACTATATACTTCCCAACTGCTCCATTTTTAAGACAAAATTTCATTGTACAAGTGTTTAGACAAATTAAATATCTGGCTTAAACAATATTAACAAGAATAAATAGTATTCATCATAAGGCTGTATGTGGAAAATGAAGTATTTATTGCATTTGATGAACTACTTCATGAATATAATTGATCATACCTGGTTTATGATAAAAAATACACAACAATACAATACCAGTATAAATCAAGTGATACATAATATACAAACATAAGCCCCCATTACGGCATCATATCTACCAACTCACATTCATTCCATAATTAATTCAGCCTCTTGGATATCAAAATTAAGCCCTTTGGTTCTGCATTTAAGAATATTGCATCAGATCATACATAAATCTGTTACATCAATAACTAATATTTGCAGTTTTTTACATATATACATACACATATTTATCAAAGTATAGTAACTCATGAGTAAAGAAGGTTCTATTTAAAAAACTATCAAATATGCCAATGATCTTAACTACAGAGCAGTTATTAAAAATTCATCTCATCACATCATAGAGCTACCATTCAGTAAGTAGCTTTCTATGAAACAATTATTCAAACCATCTTTTGCTTTGCATTCAAGGATGAGAAGTTGCAAATTGGCTTCATTCTGGATATAATAACGAGACTACAAATATCATCCTCATTGTACACTTGCATATTCTTTCTACATTTGCAAGGTAAGAAATGGAGATGAAATACAGCAAATTTCAGGATACTGTGATAATGAATAAAGGTTCTATTTATTCAAGATGGTATTAAATATGGTCTTAGAACTATGGTCAATAGAATCTACTTATTTCAAACAGAAAATAAGTCATTAAATCATAAATTGACCTGATCTTTTTCAAAAACAAATACTTTCTCCATAATTCAATGTATTCATATTCAAAAATGACACATTTGTGCTTGCAAGTAAAGGAACAAGAGGAATAAGAATGAAGCCAAATGCAAGACTTTTACCTGTCACTCACAACAGAATGATTTTGGATGTCTTCAGGTGTTCTGCATTCCAACTGGTCACTCATTCCCTTGATCTGCTTCACTGACTTGCTTTTTTCTCACACTACCATCTCCGCCTCCCACTAATTTATCTTCCTCATCCTCTCTCTTCATATCTTCTATGGCATGTGGAGCATTTACATCATGATGGTTATGAGGTCCATCCCCTCCCTGGACTAGGTGTGGCATTTGTGGAGATGTGCTGGACGAAGTTTGTAAATTCTTTCGAGTTTTTTCCCCTTTTCGCCACAGAGTTATTTCCTGGAAACAATAATCATTAGAATTATGATTTCTCAAACCAAACATTATTAAATTAATGTTTTTTATTACTCATGAAAGATATACACATGACAATTCAATAATGTCATAAAACAGCAGTCTGCTACGATTGCCCCACAACATGGTCAAACACATGGTCTATGTGAAAGTTAAGACTCTAACCCTGAGCCGATAACATATTTGATGGCCCAAACTACTGCACCACTTGGATGCACGAGATATGGTAATCCCAATGTTAAGACCAAAACTACAATTTGTCATTAACTATGCAATAATTGCCCGTCCAATTACCTGTTGCTTGAAGTAGCGACGATCTTCCTCATCCATTAGGACAAGATTGAGGTAATAACGAACAGAAAACTTCTTATTTATATCTCTCATTGTGGGAGTGAGGTCATACCCAGCAAGGAAGACCCTTATTGGGATGCTTTCTCCGCGGACAGGAGCACCATCCATTATTTCATATTTTGCGATTGTTTCATTTTCTGTGAAAGTGTTGGGGCCTGTTCAAAAAAAGATTGTTACATGAATAATTTTATTTCTATAAGATCTCAAATAAGAGCCAAATTATCATGAACCTTACACAGAAGAGTTCCTTGACTTCAAAAAGGGGATTTCATTATTTGCACTTTACTACCAGGTCTCTACTAACATTAAATACAGTGTTTGTAGTTGTTACAATGAGTTGAAAGACTTATCTTTGCCATAAAATGTTTGTTTTGTTTAGTAATAGTTTTAAGGAAAAAAAAAAGAAAATTACCAGATCCAGTGGTTTCTCTCTTAATTATTGCTATCTCCATATGTTTAATTTTAATTCGTACAAGAAGAAAATAAATCTTCCCAACTATGACATCTTTAAGATGATACCTGTTTGAAGAAGAAAACACAATGTTAAAAAATACGATGTTGATGAAGAATTAGGCACATATATGAAGCAAATGCAATTTTATAATTAGTTTTACAAAACAAATATTACTCACAAACATTTGTTAAAACACCTATCATTACAAATTGAATTTAAAATTCAATGCTACATTGAAAAAGCATTTTCCCATTAGTTAAAAAAACATGTTTATATTGTTTTGTGAATAATGTATGAAACGCTGCTTCATGCCTTAAAGTACAAATGCAATACAATACAACATCAATTTGACCAAAATAGACAACTTTATAATTCAATGCATCACTAATTACTTGTATTCAATAAGCATTTTCTCATATAAGCTACTGCTCCTGTTTATTGAACACATCAAAAATTTATTTTATTTAGTCAAATTGTCTTAGATTTTGTAGATGTAAGTGTATGATATTTTCTTCTCCAAGTCACTCACTTGTGAAGCCTTGCATAATGAAATGAATAAATACTTCAATTATTCCAACCACATATCATATCACAACAAATCATTGACATTAGGGCCGGAACTAATACCTAATGCCAGAGCAGTGTGTGGACTATAGCAATGTGATATTAATTGAAGAAGTGTTCATTTGATTAAATTCAATGAAGTTAATTTAATGATTAAAACTGATCAATCAAGTCTCTAGTTATAGTACTGGATGACTACTTACAATGTTAACAATTCAAAGTTTTATATCAAAAACTTTTTACTAAAAGAACTGGGCATATATGTTGAAAATCCCATTATTCACAAAAAATATCTCCACTCCTCCCATTTACTAATGAGATATGCAAAATCAATTTAAATTTACTACTTTATAGAACACCATTATCATAATCAATTACAAATATAAATAATTAATTTCAACATAATGAAACATACTTTGACTTATTGTATTCGAACTCTATATGTAAACAATCTTCAATGCCAACTTCCATTTTGATGCTATTATTCATATCTGGGTAAGAAGAAAGGGTATGCACAACAATGTCCATTTCCTTCACAATATCTGATAAGCGACGAACAATTGTGACTCGCAAAAAATACCTAGAACAAAGATGACACTCCTTGAAAGACTATACTCATTTGATAACACATTTGATTTAAAATTACATATTTATCTTCATACCTTAATCTCACATTTGATCCTGTATAAGATTCAAATGGCTTTTCCACGTTTGAAAACTCAAAAGGATATGATGTGTTTTGAACCAATTCTCCTGGCCGTGCTAATTCTTTTACAAGAGACGTAAATTCATGTTGGTTCCCTCTGTCATAATAGAGTTCAATCTGACCCACAAACTCAATTTTCACCCCTTGATGTTCAAGTTTCGAGCCAGGTTTCTTCAATGTAACATTAACCTAATAACAGCAATACATGGAATGTAATTATCCAAGAATTCAGGAAGGAAATAATACTAATAAGAAGTCGATGATGAGGTATGAAGCACTGTAGTAATAATATTCTCATAAACAGAATACTTTAATGCACTAAATGCACATGAAACAGTATGTACAGAAAGCTTATTAGATGAAGATTTTATCCTACATTCTGCAGAAGTGGATAACCTAATTAAACAATACACCGCATGTGCTTGCAATGTAACAACGAAATTACTAAAAAAAATTACTTACGGAGCATGTTTATTTTAAAGAACACTTTTTTTAAAATTTGTGGGGTACCTACACCCAACGTATCTGATAACACTCAAACCTACATCCTGTGTATAATTCAAAAGGCTTTTAATGTACAATGAAAATCACCTCTCTTAAGATTTGACAGAAAATCATTTATAGCACAGAAATGCATACATATCAATTTAAAACTTCAAAACCTCAATTGACCATATTATGCTCTAGTAGATTTAAAATTTTCTTAACTTCTTGTTTAAATCTTAGATATATATGCCATACCCAGTACCAATACACAAAAAAGTATTAACAAAATACTGCTGAGAGGACACCAATAACTATACTGATATTTGTACCAAATTATTTAAGACTTTGAATTAATTTTCTTCATATAATGTTCAATGATTTGAAGTTTTGCCCCGATTCTGATTATTTAACATTTTTCTTTGTTTAGTATGTAAGGGTTTTGCAGGTTAGGTCTCTAAATAAATAAAAAAAAAATCATCCCTTCCTTAATTTCAATGAAACTCTTCTAAAGCAAATTAGTCCTAAGAAAGATCTTAGAGCTCATTTTCCTTTCAGTCCATCTAAATAGGAAACTGACATTATATAGTACATCACTCCACAATAGCCTGAATTTGAAGTTCCATGACAAATTAAAAATATTATTTTAGAGATTTCTTCGTATTTGGCTAAAGAGAACTCTACAATTTTGTAGTAACATCAAACTCACTACCACTTAAAAAAATAAACTTTCAGATACTTGATCTAGAACAATAAATGACAAAAATAAACAATCAAGATTGTGAGATGACTCTTAATTGAGAATATTGAGAAATATTCAACAAAACATGAATTATTAATTTTAATATATCAAGAATATAGTCCTATTACACATTTTAAAAACGTGACACTTTGCTTACAGTACTCTCTCTCTCCACATACACAAATAGCAAGATTTGTTATGTAAACTGAACTGTACCTTGCCTGCTACAGTTTCACCATCATAGTAAAGCAAATGTCTTTCTTTCTTCCCTTCTTCTGTTTTAATATCTGCCTTTTTTCTGCCATCAGTTCCATCTAATACTATATCAATTTCAGCACTCTGTCCAAATCCAAAGAAACTCTGAAAATAAATTAAAGTATTTTCTATAAGCATATTACTGAATCAATACAATTTTTACCGAGACAGCTATTTCAACACTCATAAATCAAAATGCTTGAGCATACACAATCTCTTGAACACACTATTTTATGATTAACAAATGAAGTACAAAATACTGGGCTCTCCATTTCAACACCCTTGTTGAATCAATCCTTTTTTTTGAAACATTTGTTCACTACCACAACACACTTCACTGTGCTTCAAAGGTACTAGAAAATGTAATATTAGAGCTTTTTCTTCAAGTTGTAGAATGGTGTACCATTAAAAAATTGGATTAATTATAAATTATATCATTTCAACTTTTGAAACAAAGAAATTAGGATATAAACCAAATGTTGTCAACTCATAAAAAGGAACTTATCAAAACCGCACTGAATTATGTTTATACTGATGTAATAGCACACCTGTTGTGAAGTGTCTATTATGTTACAGACAAGCAATGAAACAATTACGAGACTAACATGTTCTAATAGCATAATTTACCAGATGTTAGTCCTCTACAAAATAGGAATGCATGAACTCGTAATATTCACCAGAAAGTTGCAATTAAATAAATCATGTACCAAATTGTACAAGGTGATTATTTCAAAATGGTACACATGATTACAAAACACATACTCCCATAGATATTTATTATCGCAAATGCTCAAAACGAAGTTGTCACAAACCATTAGTTCGACACCAAATACTTCAATGCTATTCCTCACACGAGCTGTCAGTGATGATATTGTCAGATACAATGTTTAACGATAGATATTTCGGAAGAATTGCATACTCGTCATCCATCTTCTGGTGCCGATTGTCATTCTGAATGTTTATTCTTCAAACAACAGTTGTATAACTCCTTGGCTGAGGTACACCACTAAAACGATTTCTGTGTCTTTTTCTCATTGCATCACAGATGATTTCCAAGCGGACATTGTAGTTTGTCAAACATAATTGTTCACATTATTATGCATATTCGAGCATTTATCACTCATCAGATATCACACACTGTTGTCAAACAGCAACCACATACATAATTACACGTTAAAATAACTATACACAATTGAATCGCATACCAAAACAATCCAGAGAGGTTAGGTCCACATTTACGGGCGTGTGTTTATGAATTGTGCTTAGGTAATACAATATTTTCCTATTTGTAATGAATATTTACCATGTTAACTGTTGATCGATCGAACTCACACTTCTGTTTTCTGTCAGTATAACCTCCGTTCCCCACTCATACAAAAATATTTGCCTTCAACATTATGTTCAATGGATCAGCACCGGAGCGAAAAAAGTCACAAGTTTCCGACAATATGGCGGATATGTGCTGTAAATCTCGAAACCAGATCTTATAATGTGAAAGAATATACATCCACATATCATTCAATAATTAAAAGTGAGAACGATCTTCACATCAAAATACAATGTATTCAAAGAGATTTTGACAATATTATTTCATTTGTAGTCTCGTGCAGTATTCTAAGCCAATACTCAGAATAAATAAATTTTAAGGAAGTTTCAAACCCTTTCTTCTGTGGGCGGTGTTTAAGAACTGTGGCATTCATTACTTCTATGCCTCTAGTTAAGAAACTGTTTACTTTTAATACACCTATAACATTACCAACATTCTTAAATGTTAATTCCAAGGGTTTCAAGAACCCCAGAAATAAACGTCTGAAAGTCATGCATTTTTAACCTGAATTATTAAATATATGAAAATTGAATCGCGAATTGCGTTTCAGAATAAAATATGTTTTTGAAAACGTTTTTTTTTTTAATAACAAAACTCGTAAAAAAGTGCAGTAGCTCAAATTAATTTTAAATGAAAAAAGAAACGTGGTACCGCACTCACTATGAAAGCGGGGTACGGAAATTACTTTATCATTCTGAAAGTTAAATTGAAAAGTGTGACAAGGAAAGAGCTTTATAAGACATCTCATATCGTATGTAGATTAATAGATTATTCAATACTTTTGTGTATTTATCGAATATTAATTTTTTTGAGATATTACGAACGTATAACAGAGGAATTAATAAGGTGAAAATGGTATAGCTCTCTACCAACCTCGTGTCTTAACATTTATCACCAACAATATCCATAGGAAAAATAGTTTATAAACAAACCATCCCTCTCTGTCTCTGTCTCTGTCTCTCTATAATCATGTTTGTTTTAAATTCATAATGAAATGAGACCTGCATCATTTTATATTGTTGTAAAGATATCTGTTGTGTTTCTTGTGGGACTTGATGCAGTGAATTTAAATCTAGTTTTAGTTTTTATTTATTAGGCATAGTTTTCAAGTTTGTTGGGCGTTAATATTTTATGTAACTTGTGTTTCGTTACATTGATACGAACATGTGACTGACTATTTAAGAACTATTGTGGCGCTTGCTTTGCTGGGGCGGTGCTGTGCTGTGGTTCTTCACGTACTATATACTTCATTCCACGGGACTACAGTGCATCCGCATTTGATTGTTGTATAATCCGCGCACATTTTCTTGAGCCCTCGCTTCACTAGTTGCCAGAGGAGTTAGGTTATTTTCACAAAATGAATTTTATATCAAACCGATTCGTTCGTTTTTCCATGCAAAATGGTTTCTATTACATGGGAGAGAACTTTTCTGCTTATCAGAAATTGTCTACAACGCTCGTTGCTATTATTTATCCTTAATTCAGTTATTGTTCGCAAAGGAATGGGGGTAGATATTTCGGGGCTCAAGAAAACACGTATAATACAGCGCTAATTTATCATTTCTCAACCAGAGCTTACACGCAACACCCGCAGATACTCGGATTGAGCATGCGCGATGTCTTCGTTCATTATTTACAAACCATAGTGTTACGACACTGACAGGAACCCATTTGCTTTTGAATGAGAAAGGCATTTCTCTACGATCATTTAATAATATACATATTCTTGCTGTATATTTAAATGTTGAAAGACATCGACTACACACCTGAGAATTCCAGTTCGGAATCCACGCCATGATGATCAATCACACTCCTAAAATTTTCGGAATCCACGGGCAAAGAGAATTGCATTCTCTTTGCAATTTGCAATACCGTTTTCAAATAACAATCGCAGTGCGCGGACGGCCAGACGGACAAAGGAGGACAAATGGGGCATAACGGGCAAGGGAGGACGAAGAGGATAAGGGGACAAAATGAACAATGGGAACAAAATGGACAAAATTGGAAAAAGGGGAGAAAAATACAAAATGGGGAAGGGGGACAAATTAGTCAATTAGAAAAAATGGGGCATTCGGACAAAATGGGAAATGGGACAAGGTAGATGTTGGGACAATATGGGACAAGAGAGCAAAATGACCCAAGGGGGCAAAAGGATAAGGGGGCATGTGGGACAAGTGGGTAATGTCGTCAAACGCTTTTGAAAGATCTAAAAATAGTCCATTATGTGCTTTATATTGCTCTGTGGATGAAGGGACATCTTTAAGAGATGAAAATATGGCTGTTTCCGTAGATTTTGATTTTCTAAATATATGTTGCTGTAAATCCATGCAATTCTCAAAAATATAGGTTGAAGAGATTAGCTACTGTTCAGGTCGTTCATTTCCCTATCGTTATCTTTGAAATGAACATTCTTTACAAGGATTCTAGTTGATGTAGGCGTTTCTTTTTACTATATTCCACATTTCTTTGGTTTTGTTATTTGAGTTCAAAATATCCTGATCGTTTTTCATGATTTTAGTCTGCCTTGTGACTTTTCTTAGCCAGGGCCGGATTTACCAGCAAAACAAGCAGTTGCTTGGGGGCCCCATCCATGAGGATGCCCCATTCCCCACGCTTCGGAAAAATTGTATTTAATGCAAAATATTTAAGATATACAATTTTATGTAAAAATTGTTAGTTTTTATTTGTACTTAAACAGAAATTTATTTAATAAAGATGGAGCTATTTTCACGTCCCCTCCCTTCGGAGCAACACAATTTTGTGCTTGGTGGACTCGCAATACTTAAATCCGGCCCTGTTCGGAACAAAGATTTGTACTTTTGGAAGTTGAGGAGGAAATCATGAGATATGTTATGACGCTTCAAAATAAAAAAAAATTAAAATGTTTTTACATTATATCCTAATCCCTCTTGTTATCCAAGACTTCTTTTTGCGTGAAATGTTTAATTTTCTTTTTTGAAGAGGAAAGCACGTGTTAAAGTGAAATAAAATTGTGAAAGAAATGAATTACATTTATCGTTCATATCAACTCTATTGTAAACAGCGTCCCATGATTTCTGCACCACGTAGTTAATAAATAATTTTATTTTACTTTTAGAAATCAATCTACTCATTGTTTATTATCCCAGTGTTCGCATTTCTTGTGACGGTAAGAATTTGTGAATCGTGTTCACTGTATCCTTTGTTGGAATTTCACATCTAGTAGGATTTTGTTAATTATCGATAGCACTGCACGGAAGGCACCCCCATGAGCTGAGCAGAAATCGACATCTGTGCGTCGCTCGAATGAGCATCATGGGAATCTCTTTCCAGAGACAGAAGCCTTCATAACAGCTCTCCAGGATTCTCGATTCGGTTTTAATCGGGGGAGCTTTAGTAGCCAGGGGTGTTCTGTTAATTCTCCGAAACACGCACGTACATTGCGAGCTGTATAACAGGTTGCCCTGCGGGTATATGCTGTCTTGATGAGGAAAAATTACCCGCATATAGGGATGGACATGGTTCCCAAGGATGGCTGCATACATCTGTTGATCCACTGCCTTCCAGAATGACGAGAGCACCCAGGGAATGCCATGAAAACATTCCCCACACCATTACGCTTCCTCCTCCGTCCTGGACCAGTCCGGCGACTGTTGCAGGTGTTTGCGTTCACGTTTCACACCGTATACGTTAACGTTCACCTGCCCTATGGATCAGAAAACCGATTTATCTGAAATGGCCTCCTGTCGTCACTCAGTGGACGTCCAGTTGCGGTACTGGCGGGCCAATTCCAGCCTTCGCCGCCGAGGAACAGCACTCAGCATGGGAGCATGAACCAGGCACCTGCTGCGGAGACCCATACGTAGCAACGTTCGGTGAACGTTTATTGAGGAGACCCTGTTCGTAGCCCCTTGGTTCATCTGGCCACTCAGTTACTCTACAGTTGCATGTCTATCCGTCCGTGTACACCTCCGCAGCCGACGTTCTCCCCTGTCATCTATGGCCCGTGGGGCGCCACATTTACCTCGGCGCCGAATTTGGATATCGCCATTTTGGCGATACTTTACTGGCCATACTTGGCACGCGAATACTTTAAAAGATTTTCGTAAATGGTTCCGCCCTTCGTCCGAAAGCCAATGATCAAGCCTTCTAGGGCGCCCGAGTAATCGTTCCGTGTCTGCATTGCGACAACTTCTGCAGTTTTCCTCTTCCACCCGAAACGCTTGATATCCCCGCCACTGTTAGTGTTGTAACAAGTATTTTCTAGGCCAATACCCCATCTCGATAAGGTTTTGTTCACGTTTCCCTGTCCTTGAAGCAATGCCTGAGTTGGGCCCCTTGTTTGCCCTCAACAGTAAGAACTTCGCTCTGTCCAACCCAAGGCATCATATTCACTCTCATACACGATTTAATCTGTATATGTGACTCATATTATTATTATTATTATTATTATTATTACCTGCCATCTGTGAGGTGTAATGTGCACGTTTACGTTGAAAATAGGCGGTGGTCACATTAATGCGACTGAATTGTGTAAAACGTGAAAAATATCTATTTTCCCCTTTCTAATTTCTTGTTTCCTTTTTTGAGGTTATTTTCTTTGCAATATCGAAATATATTCCAGAAAGAATTAAATATGATTAAGGGAGTGATATGTAATGATACGCAAGGTCCCTGCTGGGACCATTAAAAACACCCGCCCAAAGCAATACGTCATTTCTACCAAAAACTATGTACTAGACGATACAGGACACTTTGAACCATTCTCATACTTTAAATGGGTGACAACTCCTCACAAGTAAACCTAGTGACGTGAGCTGGAAAATCGGCGACTAATTCAAATTTCAATACAATAACTTTTGAATCACTCTGTGAAACGTACGTAAACATAAGTAAACTAAAAATCTTTCAAACCTATTCACTTCGTACTTGATATCACAATGGTTCAGACAGATCGGGGCACTAGGGTCGCTAGCTTCAAGCGTCTCCCGTTATATCGCAGAGTGCCAAGTATATTTGGTTCCACCGCACCACCAGGCGTAACTTCAAACCACAAAACAGAGTGGCGGAACCAGAGTATGTGCAATGCTAGGAGCGCCGTCATTAGGGGGCCTGTTCACTGTCATCATAAAATTCATTTTTTTTAAATACTCAACAATATGTAAGTTTCAATCTATTTCAACCAATAGATTTCAATTTAAAGTTGATTGAAACAAGAAAGTAGCAAACAATTCCCAAAAACTAATTATTTTTTCTTTTACTTTCTCTCCCTTTCCCGCGATTATTTTCTTTGTTTTATTTATATGAGATCTTAGAAAAGTGACCATTCTGAGCCTGATCAGAATCTGCTCAGAGGCCTCCCAGAGGTTACGAAGCACCGACGTGCAGGCGGAGCACCCT